TCTCTCTCTCTCTCTCTCTCTCTCTCTCTCTCTACACGTATATATGTATGTATGTATGTATGTATGTATATATATTTAATGCATTTTCCTGGGAAGTACTATGTCAGTTATAAGCGTTCTATCTGCGCTTGTGTCCGTCGCCTGAACCGCAGGCGGCGACCGGGCCCTGTGTTCATCGCCGCAGTCAATCGCCGCGCCCGACGAGGAGCCCGCGCCGCTGCCCTCAGCCTGGGCCTCTTGGAGATGCGATCGGCATACTTATGAAGAGGAATGGCTCGCCTAAAGCGGCCTGATGGCATATCCGTTGCAGGCAGGACCGAAAGCACTCCTGGCTGAACAACTTTACTCTTTCATCACTTATGTAAATGCTCAACTTACTTGGAAGCCTACTTACCTGGAGTGGCTCGCGAGCTCTCATTTTCAGTTTGTGTCATGAGTCGCAATTGGGCAAAGACGAGGCGGAAACACTCACCGGTCCAGGCTGATGACGCAGAGGTTGAGGATGGAGGCCGTGGACATCCACACGTCCACGGCGAGCCACACGGAGCACCAGAGCTCGCCGAAGAGCCACGTGTCGAAGACCTCGACCGTGACGCTGAAGGGCAGCACCGCCATCCCCAGCAGGAGGTCGGCCACCGCCAGGGACACGATGAACAGGTTGGTGACGGTGCGGAGCTTGCTGGAGAGGAACACGGCCAGGATGACCAGGCAGTTGCCCGCCACCACGAGGGCGTTGATCACGACCAGGATGGTGAGCGACGTGAGCATCCCCACGTCGCCCCAGTCCACGTGGCCGAGGGGCTCCGAGCAGTTGTCGCCGAGGTCGAGGAGGCTCCCGTTGCCGACCATGGTGGCCACGACGCTCAGGTCGCCGCCGCTGAAGGACGAGGGGCTGGTGCTCAGGAAGGCGCTGGAGGCGGTGGCGGCGGCGGGGTCCCCGGCCTGTGCCGCCCAGGTCATGATAGCAGCGCTCACAGCCCGCAAGCGGAAGGCATCTCGGGAGTCACTTCACTTCCGCCTCAGCACGAGCGCCGTGTCCTCTCCACTCGCCGTGCCCTGAGGTGCCCGCCCGCCATCTCATTCCATCAGCTCCTCAGACCTCATAGTCTGTCGCATTCGCTCCAAGGAGGAAGAGCGCCTTCTCATTCGGGATATGAGGCGGAGCTCACATGGCACTGCCTCGGCCAAATGGTCCCTTCCCCTCACCTCTTTCGTCACTTCCCCGCCTTCTTTTCTAGCTTTCCCTCTCTCACTTTCTCTCTCTCTCCTCTTTCCTAGTGTCTCCTCTCCTCTCCTTGTCCCACTTTCCCCTTTCTCTCCCCTCTCTTCACCAGCGCCTCCCTCCGACCTCTCCTCACAGTGCAATAAACTTCACACCAGTATCGAAACTGCACACTCGCCTCCACCTCAGCGGACTCACCTCACTTCACTTCACTGCCTTCACTTCACCGCTAAGTTCCATGTCCCCCTTTTCTCTCCCGACGCCCTTGTTCCCTCCTCCTCCTTCACCTACTTCATCCTCCTTCCTCCTTCGTCGTCGGCGTCTCCTTCAGCTCCTCCTTCTGCGCGATGCTGCTCCGTGACCTCGGCGAGTCTGTCGGGGAGATAAGAGGAAACGAATGGAGACCGAAACCCGCATCTAATACTCGTTCAATACTCGTCAACAGGTCGCAGGGCCCCTTAAGCGCGCCGGGGTCGTGGCGGGGTTTATCCGCACCTTATCTGGACGGTCGTTGGGGTTTGGCTTAGAATTTGGGGTTGCCCTGATTTTTTTTTTCTTTTTTTTTTTTTTTTTTTTT